CAACGAAAGTGCTCAATAAATGCAGTATTGAACCAATAAACTAACACAAACTAACTATCACTATAACATGATGATGATGATGATGATGGTGATGATGATAAAGAATGCATCTAATGTTCCGCTGTTCATTATAATCAAAAACAGAGCATTAAACAATCCATCATGCTCTTACTTTGAAATCATGCGGAAATGTCGTCATCAGCAGGCCATCACGTGGTTTCCGAAAATAACCGAGTGACACGAGTAGATTTTAGCCGAGACCGGCGGAAAATATGTCTCAAAATTCCGTGTGTGTAAAAAGACGATCCACGAGCAGAAATGTGAGATCCACGAGCAGAGATTTGAGATCCGCAAGCGCATTATTGTTCGACAAATACAAAATGGATTCACAAATGCCTGATCGAAAGTTGTAAATGTTAAAGAGATATTCACAGATCTTTTTTTATTTGTGAAAATATTTAGCGTATTTGCAGATCCGTTTTACACTTGCACATTTATTTGTGAGTTTGTAAATCTTTTAACCTCTTAAGCCCTGAGCCTGTTTTTAAGGTTTCAGGCTCGAAAATGCTATGCCAAAAACAAATGACTATAACTGAACTTCTAAAAGGGTTATATGAATAATTTATTTTATCAAAGCAAGGTTACATCTGTGAGTTGGATGTAGAAGTGTCAGAATCAATATAGATAATTCTCAGTCAGAGTAAATTCAGATGGAACATAGTAAAAAAAGGTAAATTCTTACCCCGCCTAAAAAAACATTACTTATAGTGAAAACTACCCTTGAATGATGGGATAGTAGACTAAAAGCTTTAGGAATCCAAAGTATAACATATAATAAGTACCCTGTATCAAGATTGAGGCAAAACAAGTTAAATTTGACCTTTTTAGAGAGGTTTAGCTAAAAGTAGTCCAGGCGGACTGACCTTTGGGCACATTTTGGCACATTTGGATACCATCAGTGCCATTTGACCTTTTTCAGGTACCATACTGTAAAAATAATTGTATTATCACTACAGGTAATCATTCCATCCAAATACAAGTGTTTTTAAAAAAATATATTTTTAAATTACATTTGTTTTGTATGTAAATGGTGTGTGTCTGTGTGTGGACTTTGCCACAGCCCTTACATGTTTATCACCCGACTTTCTTCACCCCTCATCTTGTGCAGCTCCTTGTGGAGAAGGAAGCTGTTCACCACTGCAATGTCCAGAAAATGGTAAAAAAAAAGGTCTTGTACCATTTCATGGTTTTGTGGTGAACGCTGTAGTACCCAATCAAAGCATCGGACACATCCACGCAGCCCATGCTTCTGTTGTAGTCCACCACAGCGTCAGGAACGGTAACAACCTTAGTCTGCCACACACCAGCCCGTTTCACTTTCCTCCTGACAGTCTGTCCACTGAACCAGAAGATGCAGAGGGAGGCTGAGTTAGTACTGGTGCAGACGTCCGGCGGCGTAGCTTGGATGTTGATGGCTCTGGGGCAACTGTATGCTGATCTGATGCACGTCGTAGCTCGGATGAGGCAGATCTTGATGGCTGTGATCCAGAAGCCATTTGATACTCGTCTTCCTCACTGTGAAAACAAATGTGGAAAAAACAATTACTTTGATTACTTCACTGGATTATTCTTTCAAAAATGTAACTCAAATCAGAAAAATTCCTCCATTTAGCGTGTGTGAAATAACAGTATACATATATATATATATGTGTGTGTGTGTATACTGTTATTTCATATATATATATATATATATACTATAGCGTGTGTGAAATAACCGTATACATATATATATATGTGTATACTGTTATTTCACACACGCTATAGTGTATATATATATATATATATTATATATATATACTATAGCGTGTGTGAAATAACAGTATATATATATATATATATTTATATATGTATACTGTTATTTCACACACGCTATAGTATATATATATATGAAATAACAGTATACACACACACATATATATATATATATGTATACTGTTATTTCACACACGCTATAGTATATATATATATATATATATATATATAGACTGATATACAATACAGCTTTATTTATAATCTGCTAATAGTCAATGTCTGTAGAACTACAAAACAGCATCCATTTGGCGTGTGTGGAATAACAGTATATATACTGGGGTTGATATACAATACAGCTTTATTTATATACTGCCCGTGTTATAGTCACGAAATACAATTAACATGATGTTGCCATTGTTTTAGTTTCTCACGGAACGATAACGCTACAACAACAAAGCGGCGTCCATTTTGTATTTTGCGAGTGTGGAATAACTATAGATTACACCAAATACACAACTAATAGATACAAACAGAGAGAGTACATACCTTTCCTGAAGTTCCTAATCAGGGTTGCCTGCTGTTGTCTCTGTGTTCGTCGCTGTGTTGTCGCTTCGCTGTGTTCGTTGCTGCTGTGCTGTGCTGGTTGTTCGTTGCTGCTGTGCTGTGCTTGTTATGCTTTAGAACACTGTTGTTGTTTTCTTGCTCTGTTCTGGCTGCTCGCTCAGTGAGTTTGTGTCCTACAGTGATGATACTTATATAAAAATAATCTGTGGAGTATCAGCTTTCAGCTGATATGTAGTTAGTGCAGAACATATTAAGTTTTAAAGATTGTGTTTGCTAGTTAGCACCGGAAGTAGCATCAGCCTGTTTTCACTAAGGGCTAATGCTAACGCTTCTTGTGAGACTTGTGTTTTGTTTCGGTAAAAATGGCTCATATCGTCAGGTAGCTGAGTTTTTTTTCCTGTTATTTGAGTATAAGACATTCATAGGTTTTTAAATATTAAGAAGCCCCCAGACGCTGTCTCCTGCAGTGACGAGTTTTTCCGCCCGGTATCGGGGGGGCCGGGTTTAAGAGGTTAAATGCATTTGTGGTGTTTTACATTTACAAATCACATATTTACACACAAATTATTTGTATGTTCACACAAATAATTACGAGACATATTTATGCCCATAGTTTGTGCATGTACAGTATATCCTCCCTGTGTGTGTAATGTGTTTAAACACAACAGAGTGGGGGAAGACATTTCCCTCTGAGGGATGAATACATTATATCTTCTTCTACTTAGAAATCAAAAGTGAATGGTCACATTAGGTTTGCCTGCAGTGAATGCTGACAGCTCTGAGCTAGTTTATAGATGTATCATGGCATAGACAAATGTCTCCTATAACCCACAGTCTATGGCTGTTACTGGTGGGTTATAGCATCGTTTTATATCTGAATTGTGCTCTTGTAGGAATTCGCACCCAACATGTTAATAACAGTCAAGTTTTGTTTTAACTCTATGGTTTTACACAGTTTTTATAATATGAAATTCACATATTTAACTATTACATCTTCAAATTAATACAAATGTAGCAATAAAGTGAAAGTCAAAATTTGTTAAAATGTAGTTATTTTACTCTAATAGGATAGTCAATACCTGTGTTTTTCAGTGTATCAATGTAAGGTAGTGGTTAAATTAAGCAAAATTACAAAATATTTCTTTCTTTACTCATATATTGTCTTGCAATTATCCATTTTTTTAAACGAGTATTAACAGTATTATGTATTTGACAGTGATATATTGGCATAACAAAAAGTATTTTTAGTAAAATTACAGAAAATGCAGCTAATTTTGCCAACAGAAAATCATTTATTTTTACGGTTAGTTGTTGTTAAATTCGCATTTAAAAAACTGCTAAAAAAAACAGATAAATAATGTATTCCATTGTTACAGTTTTTTTTTGTTAAAATACATGAGACATTTCAATAAACCGTTTATTCTTGTAAATTGATTATGATTTCCTGTAATTATGAAAATACACTAAAAAACTGTTTACAGTGGGTACTGTATATAAAAAAAACACACATATTTGAACATTTAGCAGGTTCCCTCATCTATAATAATGTATACAAGCGCAACTTTGAACATGTCCAGCAGTAAAATGCAACATACAAATAATCAAGAAACAACATAAATTAAACACTGACAGGGAACATTTTACTGCACCATCATTACTGTCACATAAGAAGGTGCCGTCAATGTTCTGTTAATACTTGCAATACTTTTACTTAAATAAGGTTTGAATGCAGGATTTTAATTTGTAACAGTATTTTCATTCTATACTGTAGGCGTAGTGTATCTGTGAACGATCCCAAATACAATTCATTGTTCACATTGCGGCTAGTGCTACGCCAGAAGAAAAAACCCTTTTACATTTTGAACTGGAAGTGGAAAGGGGCTGGGCTACATGAGGTGACTTGAGCCAACAAAAATACACAATAGGTGGGACTAAGAAAGATAATGTGAAAATATAAAAACAAAGGCATTCATTAGGGCTGCAAAATGTCTCCCATTGTAATGGTGATGAGGTTTTTAAATGCTAACACTTAACAGTTTGTTCTGACTGTGTTTCCTGTTTCCTGCAGACGTCCAGCAGCTGGTGGTGGTTAAAAAAGAGCTTCTCCCTGACCAGCAGGAGTGGAGCACCAGTCTGGACCAGGAGGACCCAGAGCCCCACTCACACATTAAGCAGGAACAGGAGGGAGAGCAGCTTCAGGAGCTGGAGGAGGCTGATATCACCAAGTCCACTTTCACTCCTGACCCTGTGAAGAGTGAAGATGATGAAGAGAAACCTCAGTCCTCTCAGCCTCATCGAAGACAAACTGAACACATGGAAACAGAAGCTGATGGAGATGACTGTCGAGGACCAGAACCAGCCAGGAACTCAGATCCAGAGAGCAGTTTGCAACAAAGACTGAGGACCACACTGGAGACTCTTCTGAACCTGACGCTGGAGACTCTTCTGAACCTGACGCTGGAGACTCTTCTGAACCTGACACTGGAGACTCTTCTGAACCTGACACTGGAGACTCCTCTGAACCTGACACTGAAGACAGTGCTGATTGGAAAGAGACCAGAGAACCTGCATCAGGCTCAAACTCACTGAAAAATAGACATGAATCTGTCAGTGGTCCACAACGTAGTGCTAAAAAGAAACCATTCAGCTGCTCAGTCTGTAAGAATGGTTTTTCACATAGTGGAAGTTTAAAGATACACATGAGAATCCACACAGGAGAGAAACCACACAGCTGCTCAGTCTGTGAGAAAGGTTTTTCACAGAGTGGATATTTAAAGATACACATGAGAATCCACACAGGAGAGAAACCATTCACCTGTACAGTCTGTAAGAAAGCTTTTTCACAGAGTGGAAGTTTAAAGGATCACATGATAATCCACACAGGAGAGATACCATTCACCTGTACAGTCTGTAAGAAAGCTTTTTCACATAGAGGAAGTTTAAAGGAACACATGAGAATCCACACAGGAGAGAAACCATTCACCTGTACAGTCTGTAAGAAAGCTTTTTCACATAGTGGAAGTTTAAAGAAACACATGAGAATCCACACAGCAGAGAAACCATTCACCTGTACAGTCTGTAAGAAAGCTTTTTCACATAGTGGAAGTTTAAAGATACACATGAGAATCCACACAGGAGAGAAACCATTCACCTGTACAGTCTGTAAGAAAGCTTTTTCACATAGTGGAAGTTTAAAGATACACATGAGAATCCACACAGCAGAGAAACCATTCAGCTGCTCAGTCTGTAAGAAAGCTTTTTCACATAGTGGAAGTTTAAAGTCACACATGAGAATCCACACAGGAGAGGAAAAATAGATCTGCAAAGTTTGTGACAAAAGATTTAAATGGCGTAATCGTTTATAAAGACCAAGTGTGTTGGTAAGGGAATACATTTGTCTATTTTGTATTCTGATGACCTAATGCCGTTACATGTAATACGTTACTCCCTAAGCCTGTTTTCAACCCACCTACAACCGATTCGCTAATAATCACAAATGTTCATTTCTTCGACCCCTTGACTCGACTATTTCTTGTTTAATAATCGTTAGATCTCCTCAGGACCAAGTTCCCGTGTCCTGCCTTTCGCCTGCTGATCACTACACTGCTCATTTAAGGTGGGACTCACCCTTTACAAGGGACCAGTTAGTCTTAGTGTCTTAATCTACCGTTTTGTAAAGTGATGCTAAGACCAACAACGTGCTTGTTGGGTGTGTGCTCTCTGCAGGACGGTGTCTGTACTCAAGATTGTTGATGAAATGAGAGCTTCATTCTGTTTTTTGTTGTCTAAACAAACGCCAACAGAGCGATACGTCTTCTTCCAGCAGATGGCATACATGTACATCATTGCAGTTCAACTGTCATCCACCATATAGAGATTCAAAACAGCAATGTGTGAGATAAGGCTAGTAATTGACTATTTCAACAGAATGTGAAGAGGTTACAGTCTTGAGCAGGGCTCGACATTATAAATGGCCCGCTGGCCGGAAGCACTATTAGACACCCCGGGCCATGCATAACGTACTTTCCACTTGCCCGCTCGGGCCACTAAAAATATTGCTTTAAAAAAAAAGTCCTGTGGTATTTTGACTAGCAATTTAGTTCAATTGTTTCATTTATCAACGCTACAACATAGCGTTCCGTGAGTCGGTTGTCGTTGTTGGAGGAAAAGCAAACGGCTGTTTGCTGAGGAGCGCAGAGCGAGCAGGCTCCCGTGAGCGGGACCGCGCTCCTTCACTACAGACTATCGCGCCACCTAACCATTCGCCAAAATGTTTTTAATAACAGCGGTAGCCGGGCAAAAAACAATCTTCAAATAAAAGAAAGTCACCGGAGGAGTTAAAGGAGAGTGACAGGGAGCATGAGAAGAAGAGGGAGTGAACGTTCAGCCAGCTTGATCGATGGAGTTGGCTTCTAGTGGTGCACTGACGCATCCTAAAACCCTTTTATAATCTATCGATTAGATTTATGATTCGAAAATTATAAAGTAGGGTAGACATGCGGCTGAACAAAACGTGCATTTGGGTCATTCTACAGAAAAGGATTTGGAAGTGCTGTCACTTACTTTTGCAGACACCAAAATACATGACGTTGACCTAATACTCACATTCATTATATATGTTGAATAAATAGAGATTGTCTTTGCAATGGTACTAAATAAAAATAAATAAAAAATGGTTTTATACGTAAATTGCAATTTATTTAAAATGCCAAGTTCAAGGAACTGCCTTGGAAGTGGAGCCTATAGTTTTAATTTAAAGATTTTTTTTTTCAATAAATAAATCTAATTTTATATTTACATAACATTACAAGCATTGATTATAACACTGAAATGGTATTAAAAAAAACGCAAATTATTATTAATATATCAAATAAATGTCAGTGCACCCAAAATTTACGTCATTGGTGTTACTGCTATACAAAACGCTTTTATTTTTGAAATAATGTAATGTCTCTGAAGTGCCTCCTGTAACAAGAGATCATTTGAGGCAGTGCAGTGGACAAAGACATAAGGAAAGTCAGATACTTCTTACTTTGTTTGTTAAAGGTGTCAGTTTATCTTCAAAATTTACATGCGTCTTCACAGCCTGTCATTAGTGTTACTCATTGCATAGCCCTAGGGGTGAACATTTGAATGGGAAAATGTATTGGTATTGAAGAGTTAAAACGATTTTGATATTGACTGAAGCCATATTTGGTCTGACCACAGGGCAGCCATTTTGTTAAAATGGTAGTGTTTTTCTCCAAATTGTCACTGGTGTTAGCGTCACTGGTGTTACTTTCTTCCTGGTAACACGTAACACCAGTGACATTCCTATACAAATAAGCTTTGTATAAAGTATAACAATTATTTAAAAAATCGAAATACTTTAAGCTCTACTTGTTGTGGATTCATCAAGATAAGAGTTAGTTATTGATATTTAACAGGTTTTAGAAGGAATATATTTCAGCAGATTTGTATCACCCAGATTCCACCTTTTCTGTAGAATGACCCATTTATCAGGTTAGTTTTACACAGACCTTATTTCGCAGCTATTTTCCAAAAACCCTGTGGAGAAATCCCATTGCTTTTTGTCGAGGGAACCAGCAGCTTACTTCTCTGGTTTTAGGATGCGTCACTGGCTGCACCTCTCAATATGATGCCAATATAAACAAGGTCTTCTGTCGGCTCTGTACATCAATGCCGACCTATGCTGACAAGTAAGTGAAGAGTAGACAATAGTAAAAGGTATTGGCGAAATGTCCCAGCAGTTTAGGATAATGAAGGTTTCTATCTAATCTATAGCCATTACATGTCGAACTCCTAATTACAGGAAGGCAGAAAGTGCATTATACAAATAATAATACTCATAATAGCAGAAATGTTTTAACAATGACCACAATATCATTATTTTAATAAACCATATATGAACAATTGAGGAAATGAGAAGACTGATTGTTCAAATGTTGTAGTACAAGATAGTAATGTAGCATAAATTACTATTGCAACAATGTGTTAATTTTCTTCATTATTAGTCGATTTTTTTTTTTGGTGGACGCATGCCTCCAGGCCAGTGGTTACAATGGTGGGGCCAGTGATAATACAATTCCACCGGCCCGGAGGGCCGGTGGCTTTTTACCCTTAATGTCTACCCCTGTTGAGGCCAGTGTCCAATATGTTTATGTTTTGTTTGATTAAATCGACTGAAATGAGCCTTCAATGACTCAATTATTCTGAATTACGGTCATTACATCATGGGTTTGCATTGCAATATTAGAACGCATAAAACCCAACTTTATTTCTTTCCAAGTTGCGTCATTTGTTCATCACCACTCAACTTCAAACAAGCCAAGAAAAAGCCGGCATAACATGGGACAGTAAAGTGGGAGGTGCTGCTATGTGTCTGTCTGAAGAGACAGTAAGGTGAGAGGTGATACTACCTGTCTGTCTGAAGAGACATAGCTGCTACCTGTCCTTAAGGTGGGAGGTGCTGCTACCTGTCTGTCTGAAGAGACAGTAAGGTGGGAGGGTGCTAACTACCTGTCTGTCTGAAGGGACAGTAAGGTGGGAAGGTGCTGCTACCTGTCTGTCTGAAGGGACAGTAAGGTGGGAGGTGCTGCTGCACGTGCCTGGTGGGGACATTTGTCTTTGTTATCATGTTTCATTTCCAGTTTGTTTTTCAGCTGTTATTAAAGATCTTTGTGCCTCATTATTGTCTCTGTGTGTTTGTGTCCCCGGCTTTCTCTCGTTTTAATCTGCACAAACTGAAACAGGTTCATGTCACAGTCTGATCCACGCGGCAGCCTTCAGGCAAACATGTTTGTTTGCAATAACTGGATTTATTTTAAATCAAACCTCACTGAGACGAGTCCTCAAACCAGAGAAGAAACTGCAGAGGAAAAATCTAAGTGAGGGTCGGATGTCGAGCAGACGGAGTGAAACATTGTATTCCTTCCATACCATATGTACTGTACTGCTTACTAACCTGGTTCATCCAACCCGGTATCACGGCAAGACGTGAACATGTGACGATTTACCATGCTGGGAGACGTGAAGATGTCACGGTTTCGTCCCCTTCAAACGTGACAGCTACACGGTATTGTTTAACCCATGTTAACCAGTGGAGAAATAACCGGAAATGCCAAGCAAATGCTACCCCGACGTAATGATTTATTTTTTAATAGTCACACTCCATTACGCATATTTTCTTGTTGCCCCAGCTGGTCGACACCTCTTTGAGCAGAAACAAAGGCTACATTAATGTATTAAATCGATGTTAATCCATGGTGTGGATGTGGAATTAACGGACGTGATATTGTGTGATTGCGTTTGCCAGGCAACAGCTTCGGTTCATGTTAATTTACAAACTCTTCGACTACAACCGTAGTTATATTTAAAAACATTTTAAAAGGCCTCACGAAATACTTTAATGTAATTTAAAATGGTAAATGTGAAGGAATGTGTGTATAACAAAAATACATCCATCCATAAACGAAGACCGGAAACAGGCGTAGGCAAGATCCTCAGCTCGACGATTGGATAGTTTAGCCGTAATGCATGCTGGGATTTGGTTGTTTATGTGATGTGAAATCTGAAAACGTTTTTTTAAAATAAAATAGATACTTTATTCAGAGTGTGCTTTGCTTTTCTCTTTGGAGGTCATCACATAACGGCATTGTAATACACGGTTCGGCTGCAGTAATATGACATATCTGCCGTAGTTCTCTATTTATAGAGCCCTGCCGTGAGACTTCTAGACAAACAGGAGAACTGCCGCCAAAACTCAAAACGTGACGTGGATCATAAATATATCAGCAATTAAACAACATCTTACATTTATTTTCACACAATACGTCTCCTTGCAGTATCAACACTAATTTCGGCTGACATTTTATATTTGATCCTATTGGTAGATAGGCTGTATTTACACCATAACGGTGCAGAAGGCTGATAGAAAGGGACACCTGGTGGTTGAAGAAACATTATTGAATTGTATAATTGTATTATTAGATATTTAAACTCTAGCGAACCGCTAGCCTTTCAATGTAATTTCCCATAGGGTTAGCATGAAGCTAACGCATCGTTTATGATATGGTTGTTAACACACGCGTGAAATGTATGAATAATATGTTAAATGATTGCTATGCTTAGAAATTAATGTACATTTTCTTGTGTGTCCAGTTGTTACAGTGCTTTCTGAGTAACACTTAAAACGGGAACTTTCTGAAGCCGAGTGTTTCTTCCTGTTGTCTGGTCTGCTCGGGCGTGGGGACAGAATAGTGTTGTGTTTAAAAGTGTAAAACCGTTTTATTGAATATCCTCCTCGCCCGCTTTGACAACCCGGGAGAGGAATCTGCTCCACTCATCCACCCACCTGCTGAGGAGACAACGCTGGTTCTACAGCACCATCAGGTGTGGACCACTCTGAGGAAAATCAGACCTAGCAAAGCTGCAGGCCCAGACGGAGTGCCCGGCCGGGTACTGAAGGCATGTGCGGACCAGCTGACAGAGGTGTTTACTGATATATTCAACC